AAGCAAACCAACATCAGAATTCTGGGGGTCCCAGAAGATGAGAGAGAGCAAGATATCAAAAACATACTGAAAGAAATAGTGACAGAAAACTTCCCCCACCTGGTGAAAGAATTAGACTTACAAGTCCAGGAAGCGCACAGAACTCCAAACAAAAGGAATCCAAAAAGGACCACACCAAGACACATCATAATTAAAATTCCAAGAGCAAAAGACAAAGAGAGAATATTAAAAGCAGCAAGAGCAAAGAAGGTAGTTACCTATAAAGGATCACCTATACAATTGTCAGCTGATTTCTCAACAGAAACCATGCAGGCCAGACGGGAGTGGCAAGAAATATTCAAGGTGATGAATAGTAAGAACCTACAGCCAAAGATAATCTATCCAGCAAAGCTATCACTCAGAATCAAAGGTCAGATAAAGAGCTTCACTAATAAAAAAAAAAAAAAAGCTAAAGGAGTTCATCAACACCAAACTAGAATTATATGAATTGCTGAAGGGGGTTTTTTCAGAAGAGAAAGTAAATAAAGATAAAAATTATGAACAACAAATACGTAACTATCAACAAGTGAATCTAAAAACCAAGGAAATTTTTTTTAAAAAATCTGATGAACAATATTAACTGTTGAATATAATAGAATCAGAGGTATGGAAGGGGAGTGAACTGATGATTCTTGGGGAAAAGGGGAGAGGGGGATGTGGGAAGAGACTGAACATAAACTGTGCACCTATGGATGAGGACAATGGGGAGTGGGGAAAGGGCAGAGGGTGGGGTGGGAAAAAAAGGAACATTTGTAATAATATGAACAATAAAAATTTATTTTAAAAAAATAAAAGAAAAACTAACCAACAAAAATAAAAGAATAGGAAAAGAGACAAAACAGAAAAGGAATAATCAAAGACAAGAGACAAAAAAATAGAGAAGAGAAACAAAGGAGAAAATATAAAAGAGGAAGAGAAAACATTAATATATATATATATATATATATATATATATATATATATATATATATAAATAAAATAAAGATTAGGAAAGAAAAATGGAAATTAACAAAAAGGAAAAGATAAAATAAGAACAGGTGAGAGCCCTCGCCAGTTTGGCTCAGTGGATAGAGCATCATCCTCGAGACTGAGGGTCCCAGGTAAGATTCGGGCCAAAGGCACATGCCTGGGTTGCTGGCTTGATCTCCAGAAGGGGACGTGCAGGAGGCAGCCAATCAATGATTCTCTCTCATCATTGATGTTTCTAGCTTCTCCCCCTCTCCCTTTTTCTCTGAAATCAATAAAGAAGTATATATATTTTTAAAAAGGGAGAAAAGGTGAGAGAGAAGTAGAACATATGAAAGGAAAAAAAGAGAATGAAATAGAAAAAGTTTAAAAAGAAAAAAGTGGTTTTCGCTTCAGCAGCTTTGTGCCGGCTGCAAACACCCTTCAGATATGCTGTTTGTGAAGCTTGGTGGATCCTGCTCTGGAGTTGTCTAAAGCTGGCCTCGGTGTGCTGGTCCTGGGCATTCCCAGTGTCAGACGCTGTCTCCGCCTGGTCCTTAGCAGCCTGTCCAGAGCTTGGCAGGGAAGAGTTCCTAGTGGTCCAGTTGGTGTGGCACCTCGAACTCAGTGGTTGGAGCAGTCTCAGGTCTTGCCCAGTGCTCTCCCTTTCCACATAGAACTGCACTCAGCACAAGTACATATATGGGACCTGGCAGGAGTGAGTCAATCCTTTTCCTGTTGGGGGTGGTGCTTGCGATCTGTAGAATGGGGGAAGGGCACTTCCTCTCCTTCCCAGAGCTGTACAAGCTGAACTAACTGGGTAGCTTGGATCTGCTTCCCCTAATGCAGCTGTAGATCCCAGCACATGACCTTCTGACTTCCAGACAGAAGCCCACTTGGGAGACACAGTCTCAAAAGAAAACAGAAACAACAACAACAACAACAAAACAGCTCTTTATAGGTCCCTGGCACTCCTGCTCCATCTAATCAAGCAGAAAGGGATAAAAAAAAAAACGGTCTCACTTGCCACTCCAATCGCTCTGTGCTGCCAACCCTTGCAGGTCTAAGCCAAAATTCCCAGCTCCGCCAGGCTTGCACATGGGCCAAATGACCAACTCCCCCCTCGCCATCAAATCAAGCAGGACAGGCCCAGTTTTTCAGCCTTTTACTTCCGAACACAGCAAGATGGGCCAGGCTGTGAGCAGCTCCGCAGGTATCTGGAGGGGCGCCACCCGTGCACTCAGGTGGGCAAGACTGATTCTCTTTCCCAAACCACGCAGTCTAGTCTCGGACCTGCTCTCTGCCCAAAGTTCCTACAGAGAACAGAGGGCCCCTCCAAGTTTCTGTTGGGTGTACCAAGCAGATCCCTCCGTTGGACAAGCACTGTTTCATGCCGCCACCTCTCCCCCCGCCCCCCAACAGTCTCAGACTGAAGCAAACTTCCCAGGCTGGTATTGAAACAATGTGACTGCTTTTTCCCCCTGGCATGATGTGGTCCAAGTCTCCCAGGTGGACCAAATACCCACTCATTACGACCATCTGATGCTTCGCAGGCTCCCCTTCCTGTCTGTTGTCCTTGATTGGGGATCCCTCCATGCCCCCATGAGAGGGAGCTCTGCTGCCAATATCCCTCTGGCTTCCCAGCCACCGCACCTGCGCGAGGAGGCTCACACTTTCTGTGTCTCCTCCTGTCTTCTTCTGTGCTACTGTTTACTAGTATATAGAAGTTTTATCATAGTTTTAGTGTTGTATTATGACCTTAGGTAATTCCAAGAGGGCTGCAGAGTAGCTGGAAGTTCCATTCATTTGCTCCAAGCCCCGGAATGGACTTGCAGTTAAACTGCAGAGCAATCAACGAGAAAAACCAGTGGAAGTGTAGCTGATCCAAAACTATTATATTAAAGGAAAAAATAAATTGATTGGACTTTATAAAAAGTAAACACTTGTGGGTTTCGAAGATACCATTAAGGAAATGAAAAGAGCCCAAATCAGTTTGGCTCAGTGGATAGAGCCTCAGATTGCAAACTGAAGTGTACCTGTTCCATTCAGATCAAGGACACTTACCTTGGCAGCAGGCTCCTCCCCATCCCCCCGGCCCTGGTCAGGGCATGTGCAGGAGGCAACCAATCTGTGTGTTTCTCTTACATCGATGTTTCTCTCTGTCTTCGTCTATCTCTTCCACTCTCTCTGAAAATCCTCAAAATATCCTCAGCTGTGATTTAAAATTAATTTAAAAAGGATATGGAAAGTCAAGCCACAGACTGGGAGGAAATATTTGCAAATTATTATACTTTATCCAGAGTATATAAAGAACTCTTTAAAAAAATAGAATGCTTCAGCCGAGACCGGTTTGGCTCAATGGATAGAGCGTCGACTAGGGGACTGAAAGGTCCCGGGTTCGATTCCGGTCAAGGGCATGTACCTTGGTTGCAGGCATATCCCCAGTAGGGGGTGTGCAAGAGGCAGCTGATTGATGACTCTCATCATCGATGTTTCTAACTTCTATCTCTCTCCCTTCCTCTCTGTACAAAAGCAATAAAATATATTTAAAAAAAACAAAAAAAAACAAAAACAAAAAAACACTGATGAGAGAGAAAAATCAATCAGCTGCCTGCAACCAAGATACATGCTCTTGACCAGAGTGGAACCTGGGACACTTCAGTCCACAGACTGATGCTCTACCCGCTTAGTTAGGGCTAGAAATGAATGTTTAAATAGATGTTTCATTAGAGAAGATGCTATAATGGCTAATAAACTCATGAACGGGTCATTAAAAAATGAAAATTAAAAGCACAATGAGTTATCATTTTACACCTATTAGACATGCTATAATAAAAATGATAGACTCTAACAAGTGTTGAGGATGTTGAGAAACTAGAACCCAAATACATTGCTGATGGGAATGTAAAATGGAACTATCACTTGGGAAATCAATTAATAATTTCTTAAAAAGTTAAACATAAGTTTACCCACAATAGAAAAATGACCTATTAATTTTATCCCTCGGTATCTATTCAAAAGAAATGAAAACACATGTCTACATAAAATCTTATGTATGTGTGTTCATAGCAGCATTATTCATAACAGCCAAAAATTGGAAACAATCTAAATGCCTATGAAATGGTGAATGGGTAAACAAAGTGTGGTATATACAAACAGTAACGTGCAATTGGCAATATGAAGAAAGAAACAACTGATACATCCTATAACAGGATTGATCCTAAAAAGCATTATGTAAAATGAAAATATATATATATATAAAAGACCGCATAAAATATAATTCCATTTTATGAAATATCCAGAAAAGGCAGAAGCAATTGAGACAGAAAACAGAATAGTGATTGTCTAGGGCTGGGGTTGGAAATTAATATTGACTGCAAATGGGTATGAGGAATCTTTCTGGGATGATGAAAATGTTCTAAAATTGGACTGTGGGGCCCAACTGGCGTGACTCAGTGGTTGAAGCATCTACCTATAAAGCAGGATTTCATGGTTTGATTTCTCAGTTGGGGCACATACCCGGGTTGCGGGCATGGTTCCCAGTGTGGGGCATGCAGGAGGCAGCCAATCAATGATCCTCTCTCATCGTTGATGTTTCTATCTCTCTCTCTCTCCCCTTATCTCCCTGAAATTAATTTTAAAAATTTTTAATGAAATTTGATTGTGGTAATGGTTGCACAAGTCTAAATTTACTGAAAGTCATCGAATTGTACACTTTAAATGAGTGAATTTAAAAAAATCCTCACCTAAGGATGTATTTTTATTGTTTTTAGAGTGAGAGGAAGGGGGAAAGAGAAACATTGATGTGAGAGAGAAACATTTATTTATTGCCTCCCATATGTGCCCTGGGATGGATTCCACAACCTAGGTATGTGCCCTGACCAGGAATCAATCTGGCAATCTTTTGGGGTATAGAATGACACTCCAACAAATTTAGCCACCTGCCCAGGGCTAATGGGTGAATTTTGTGGTCTGTAAGACTAAAATCCATTTCCAATGTCTTAAGCCATCCTTACTTTTTTTCCCCTCCTGTTTCTTCTTCTCTTCAAGCAAAGAGGTACTCATTACCCTCAGCCTCTTGACATTGCCCTCAATAGATTTGAACGTTTCTGGTAACATCTTCATTTGTGATATGTATTGGTGGTCATCAACATCAGTTGCAGTCATATCAGACAAAATGACATCTTAAAGAGAGTAAGAAAATTACTTTTGTTTAGAAAAATAAATAATTGTAACCATATGGGCTTATAATGTTGACTATTCAATGTTGTAGTATTTTGGAATATAGGTATCTTATACTTATTGCTATCTGAGACCTTTTTCTGATGAGGAAATGAAAAAGGAAGAGACTTAGAATAGAGGCTTAAACAGTAAGTCGACATAAAAATATGAATCATGTTAAAAGATATCTATTCCAGGGTTTCCCAAAGTGTGGTACGCGTACCCCCAGGGGTACAGGAAGAGTTTGGTGGGGGTACGCGTTGCACCGGAGTTTGGTGGGGAAATGCACTGCACCGTGCTTAGCTGTGCCTAATTCTACGTTCTCATGAGTACGAGGGGTACTCAGCGTTATGAAAATTATAGAAGGGGTACACATATCTCAAAAGTTTGGGAAACACTGATTTAGACTTCAGAAAAGTAGGTATCTAAAATGTGAACATGTATTTTAATATTGTGGGTCTAAGCCCCAATTAACTCCTTTGGCAAGTTAATCTACTCTTTTATAACCCCTGTTACAAGAGATTTCTTGCAACCAGATTAAATTCCTCTTTTGTGTATTGTAGTTTATTCATTCTTTCATTCAATCAACATGTCCTCTGTCAAGTTCTCTTCTAAATTTTATGGATAAAACATAGAATAAAACCAATTCCCTGACTTCATAGTACTTATATTCTAATGAAAGGAGACAGATAAAAAATATTTTAAAAATAAATAAAACATTAATTATATAGTATGTCAGAGGGTAAGAAATGGTATAGACAAAAATAAAGAAGAGTAAAGATAAATGGACAAGGGGTAGAGAATGGGAATGGTCAGAGAACACCTAATTTTATTTTATTTTCCATTTTCAAAGATGTTTAATAGCAGTATTATTTTCTATTAAAGTAAAGCAAAGTTCAAATGCCCAAAAATAACTATGTTTAACACTGGGTATATACACTGAGTGGCCAGATTATTATGATCTCTGAAAGCACACACACACACACACACACACACACACACAACAGCCCCCCCCCACACACACACACACAACAGGCCCAGTGTACAGGGGCCGGGGGCAGGGGGTCCCTCAGCCCAGTTTACACCCCCTCTCCAATCTGGGACCCCTCGAGGGATGTCCAACTGCCTGGCAGTCAGACATCCCGCTCACAATCCAGGACTGCTGACTCCCAAACACTCACTTGCCTGTCTGCCTGATCGCCCCTAACCGCTTCTGCCTGCCAGCCTGATCACCCCCTAACTGCCCTCCCCTGCAGGCCTGGTCACCCCTAACTGTCCTCCCCTGTAGGCCTGGTCCCCCCAACTGCTCTCCCCTGCAGGCCAGAGTCCCCTCCAACTGCCCTTCCCTACAGGCCAAGTTTCAACTTCCTTCCTCTGCTGGCCTGGTCATCCCTAACTGCCCTCCCCAGCAGACTTGATAACCCCAACTTCCCTTCCTTGCAGGCCTGGTCCTTCCCAATTGCTCTCCCCTGCTGGCCATTTTGTGTCCACATGGAGGCAGCCATCTTATGTGTTGGAGTGATGGTCAATTTTCATATTACTCTTTTATTAGATAGCATATATATATATATTGGAGGCCCAGTGCATGAATTCGTGCATGGGTGTGGTCTAGCCAGCCTGGCCAGGGGGAGGGAACATAGGCAGTTGGCCAGCCTGCCTGCTAGTTAAACTCCTGGTTGAGGGAGCAATTTGCATATTAGCCTATTATTTTATTTTATTTTATTTTATTTTATTTTATTTTTTTAAAGCAACATTTGGCTTCCCCCAAGTGGGACACAGGCCTCACATATTAGCCTTTTATTATATAGGATATATACTGAGGCCAAATTATTATGCATTCAGAGATCATAATAATCTGACCACTCAATGTATATGAATACAGATAAACACTGCAAAGTAGACTCTAGATTTAAGTAAAGATTTTTAGGTATGATTCATTATAATTTATTTTATGAATAAGAAAAAAGTCATGATAGGAAAGAGATAGTAAAAATTTATAAAAAGTATTTTTATTGATTTCAGAGAGAAAGGGAGAGGGAAAGAGAAAAGAAGAGAAAAATATCAATGATGAGAGAGAATCATTGATCGACTGCCTCCTGCAGGCCCACAACCCAGGAATGTGCCCATGACCAGAATTGAATCTGGGACCTTCTAGTCCACAGGCGTATGTCTTTCCACTGAGCTAAACCAAATTAAATAGTATTAGAAAATAATTCTCTTTTATTTGGATGCCCCTCACCACCACACTGCCTGCCAATTGAGCTGACTTCCCATCATTGGACCAAAATGATGACTCTCTGCCAGGCAATTACAGCATGTCACACCATTAGCCCCTGGTTCAGAAGAAAGAGAACATCTCATTTTAAAGTAAGATATAAGCAGAGAATGAGCCATGTGTCTACCGAGTAAAAAAATGTTTAGGCAAGGGAATAGTAAGCATAAAGACACTGGGCAGGAGCATGCTGGCATGCCTGAAGCAAAACAAAGAAAGAGGCCAGAATTATTGGCACTAAGTGAGCAAGCCTATATTTTTATTATTTGACTAGTGTCCCAGTGCATGGATTCATGCACATTGAAATTAATTAGTCCCTCTGGTGCAGTGACTAATGCAGGCAGTCCTGGGTGGTAGCTGGTGAGGCAGGACTGGGAGAGACAGGCCAGATATGCCCTGGAGCCAACCTCTCACGGCCCCTCCCCAACTAGCCACACCTGGCCCAGCTCCGCAGCTCAAAGGGCATCTGCAGAGTGAGCGGGGTGCCTCTGGCAGGTGGGGTCCCTTGGCCTAGCCTGCGGGGATTGGGCAGAAACTGGCTCTCTCACATCCCCCAAAGGGACCCGGAGTGCAAAAGGAATTGCGAGGAATTGGACTCCCTCCTCTCTGGTTCTGGGGTGCCTTACCCAAGAACCGCCACTACCAAGTGACTGTAAAGCTACAGCTCTTGCATTGAGCATCTGCCCCTTGGTGGTCAGTGTGCATCATAGCTACTGGCCAGTCAGATTGTTGGGTGGTTTTCGGTCGCTTAGCTATATATTAATATATATATATATATATATATATTCTTACTGAAATAGAGGACAGCTCCTTAATCCTTTCTTCTTTAGTCTACTTTTAATCCTTCAAAATTTTCTTATAGATCCTGCTCTCTAGCTTTTTCATCAACTTTGTGGTTTTCCTTTAAACCATTTTTGAAAACTTACTCCAGCCGAAACCGGTTTGGCTCAGTGGATAGAGTGTCGGCCTGCAGACTGAAGGGTCCCAGGTTCGATTCCAGTCAGGGGCATGTGCCTGGGTTGCAGGCACATCCCCAGTGGGGTGTGTGCAGGGGCAGCTGATCGATGTTTCTCTCTCATTGATGCTTCTGGCTCTCTATCCCTCTCTCTTCCTCTTTGTAAAAAGTGAATAAGATATATTTTTTAAAAAAAAGAAAACTTACGCCATTCTTCCAACCATGCTAGGATGTACATAAGAGTCTTTCCTTTAATGTCAGCAGAATTAGCACAATAATCAATTTTCTCCAGCACGTTTAGTCTCCGTTGCTTATATTCTATAAAAGGGATTTTCTTTCCAAACTGTATGGACTCATCAAAAGTGTAGCGATGAATTATCCGCTGCACATTTTGCAATATGTCATTCAGCTGTGAACTGATTTCCTATAAGAATAAGAAAGGGGAATATATTAATAAATTTTCAGTTTGACAATAAGCTTTTGTCACCTTTCTTCCTAGAATGTCAGTGACAGTGATTATAAAGCTGTTGAATCAAAGTCCTACTAATTCTAGCTTTACTGTGGATTTCAATTTTCCTTCCTAAATTTTTTTTTCTGCCTTCATCATCCTAGCATTGCTATGATCTAATGAAAAGAACCCTGGGTTTGAAACCATATCTGGGGTGAGCCAAAATGGCTGCAAAGTAGGTGGAAGCTACACACACCTCCTTCTCCTGGCACCATACCAGATTTACAGCTAAATTATAAAGCAATCAACCTGAATGACCAACTGAAGGACAGTTGAATAGGAGTATTACATCCAAGTATACAGAGAGGAAGCTACACAGAGACTGGTAAGAAGGGCAGAGACATGGAGAGGGCTGGCTCCAGCATCCAGGTACAGTGGCTAAGAAGCCAGAGGATATCTCAGCTATAAAAGTCCCTCCTCAGGAGTGTGGGGTCTCAACCCCATGCCAAGAACCCCAAACTAGAGCAGCAGGGCCAGGAAGAGGACTCTGCATAGCATTTGGCAGCAAAGATCAACGGGAACTCTGTCAGTTGGAAAAAGGAGGGAGTCTGCTAGCCCCTTAGTGCTCTTCTAAGGGACCAACCCATAGGAGCTCACTCTTGGGCACTTACCCATGGCTCTGTTAGAGGGGAGGTGACTAAGGGCATACAGAAGCCATAAAAAGAGGATCTGGGTGGTGTGGCTCTGGAAAGAGCTCTGGCAAGTCGGCTACTGGTCCTGAGTCAACATACCACACTGCCCTCAGGCTCCATCTCTCTATTCTTACAGTACCAGTTGGGGAGTGCACTAATGTGGCATTTCGGATACTGGTGACACCACCCTGCCAAACTCGAGTCCGGCAGAAAGGACTGTTGGCAGACACAGAGGAAACAGTGAATAGTCTGGTAGCTCCAGACAGGTAGCCCAAGGCCCATTATTCACAACATCTGACATTGACCTGCACCAGAACCCAGGCCAAGGGGCTCCCAAACCAACATAACTACTGGCAGGCTTCAAACCACACAACAGTTTGGCCCAACTAGCCACACAAATGGCATTGCCAAAGGGGGACTTCAGCAAACACCATACCCTGCTAGGAACAGCTCTGCCTCAGGAGCAGCTCCTGAATAGCAGCTCATACACAGTGAATGAGGTCTATCTTTATAATCAGCCAGCTTGAGGATTAACTCTATCCACTAATGGGGCAATAGCATTCAATACTCAAATACAGGGAAGAGATCCAAGATGGCTGCTCGGGTAGACATCTAACCGTGGCAGCACACAACAATTTCAATGGATTACAACTAAAATGTAGAGTGGACATTGCCCAGAGCTACAGGTAGACGACTGACTGAAAATTCTACAACAAGAAGGAAAGAGAAAACCAGAAGGAAAATCAGAGGAGCTGAAAAAAAGCCTAAGGTACGGAGGCATGCTGCGCGCGGAGAGGTCGCTGCCGGAGAGGAGGAGAGGGCTGGGAGCTGCCTTTCCTTCCCTAGCAGAAAGGGAATAAAACCCCCAGCCTGGGCTGAACCCCCGAACCGGCAGCGCTGAGCCCCCCCGAACCGGCAGCGCTGAGCCCCAGTTATGGGCCAGACCCTGGGGACCCAGGCTCCCACAAGAGGAGACGGGGCTGTGAGGCAGAAAAGCGGCGAAAAGCAGGGCCCCGGGAATTGCGCGCAATGCGCGCAGAGAGGACTGAATGTTGATTCTGATGCTGGGCTACCCTAGCCTGAAGAAACAAGGCCTCCGGCGGCGCTGAGCCTCAGTCCGGACTGCTCCGAACCCCAGTTCTGGGCTAATCCCTGGGGACCCAGGCTCAGGCAGAGGGAGACGGGGCTGTGAAGTGGAGTCTGGGGAGAGCAGCGAAAGGCCGGGCCCCCAGGACTCGCGCAAACTGCGCGCAGAGGACAGTCTGTTGACTCTGATGCTGGACTTCCCTAGCAGGAAGGAGAAAAAAAAAAAGCTCCAGGCTGGGGGAACGCGAAGGGGAACGGAAGCCCCTGCCGGACTCCAGCCAACCGGGCACCAGCAAGGAGGCGGGCCACGGGGCCCCTGGGGGCGTGGGTGCCCCTGAGCCTTTGACCACTGAGCTCCGGCAATGGAGCCAAGGCCGGGGGCTGTTTCCTGGGCGGCACCGTCCCAGCAACAGGCTGAAGCAGCGCAGGAGCCCGCGGAGAACAAAGGGGTGCCACAGGCCAACCTGCTGAGCTCCCAGGACAAGGAGGAAGAAACCAAAGAAGTTCTCAATGTGAAGAAATCAAGTGAGAGCAAAAAAATAGTAAAATTACTTAAGAAAGAATACAAAGAAGATCTTGAAAAATCAAAGACTAAGTCAGAACTCAACTCACCAGCCAACATTGCAACATAAATGCGTTTTAAAAAGAAAAAAGAAAAAAAAAAAGGACAGAATGTTGGAACAGCGGCGGCCAGGCCTAGAGTGGCCAGGCACAAGGCAGTGGCAGCCAGGCCCAGAGCAGCAACGGTCAAGCCCCAGAGCAGCAACAGCCAGAACCAGAGCATCAACAGCCAGCACTGGAGTAGCCAGACCTGGGGCAGTGGCAGCCAGGCCTGAGGCGGAGGCGGCCAAGCCCAGGGTGGCCAGTCCAGGAACACCCAGACCCGGAGTGGCCGGGCCCAGAGAAGCCGGGCCCAGAGCAGCCGGGGTGGGAGCAGCCAGACCCAGAACAGCAGTAGCCAAGCCCAGAGCATCCAGGTTGGGAGTGGCCAGGCTCGGAGCGGCCGGGCCCAGAGCAGCCGGGCCCAGAACAGCCAGGTCGGGTGCGGCCAGGCCCGGAGCAGCGGCTGCCAGGCTGGGAGCAGCCAGGCCCGGGGGAGCAGCCGGGGCTGGTGCGGCCAGGCCCGGAGCAGCGGCTGCCAGGCTGGGAGCGGCCAGGCCCGGGGGAGCAGCCGGGGCTGGTGCGGCCAGGCCCGGAGCAGCGGCTGCCAGGCTGGGAGCGGCCAGGCCCGGGGGAGCAGGCGGGTCGGGTGCGGCCAGGCCCGGAGCAGCGGCTGCCAGGCTGGGAGCGGCCAGGCCCGGGGGAGCAGGCGGGTCGGGTGCGGCCAGGCCCGGAGCAGCGGCTGCCAGGCTGGGAGCGGCCAGGCCCGGGGGAGCAGGCGGGGCTGGTGTGGCCAGGCCCGAGCAGCGGCTGCCAGGCTGGGAGCGGCCAGGCCCGGAGCAGCCGGGTCGGGTGCGGCCAGGCCCGAAGCAGCGATTGGGAGCGGTCAGGCCCGGGGGAGCAGCAGCCAAGTCCAGAGCAACTAGGTCGGGAGCAGCAGTGACCAGACCCGGAGCAGCTGGTTGTGGAATGAACCAGAGCGGCAGAGGCCGGGCTCTGGGCAGCCGGGCCCGGAACGGCTCGCTCCTTGCCTGCCCCTGCCCCACGGCTGCCTCTCAGACATGGCTGGAAACTTTCGTGGGAACTTGAGGGTCTGCTGAATCAGGTGATGAAGGCTTAGAGCTGGATGTGTTGAGTTAGTTTAGGGCTGGGGTGTTTATCTGTGAGTGCCTTGGGTGGGGCCTGGATGAGGCTGGTGGACCTATTGGGAAATGTCTTTTGTGTGAAGTATATCATTGGGCATGTAGAGGTATTATTGATATGAGAAAATGCTAAGTAACTGATATACTGTCTGAGAAGGGATTTACTATCGGGGAAAGGGAGGGAAGAAGAGACTGAACATAAACTGTGCACCTATGGATGAGGACAATGGGGGATGGGGAGGGGGCGGAGGATGGGGTGGGAACCTGGTAGAGGGGGGAAGAAATGAGGAACCTTTGTAATAATATGAACAATAAAGATTGATTTAAAAAAAAATAAAGGAAAAAAATACTCAAATACAATAGAAGAAAGCATATAACCCACTCAAGAATTATTTCTGGAGCACCTACTTCAGGTAATCTAGAATATTCTGACCCTGAAACCCATAAGGCACCTATATCAGAAAGCCCTCGTAACAAGCTTAGGAGTCATAGAAGATCTACCTAATACACAGAGACAAACACAAAAAAGATGACAAATGGGGAGACAAAGAAATATACCCTGAATAAAAGAACAAGAGAAATCCCCAGAAAAATGATTAAATGAAGTGGAAGCAACCAAAATACAAGATACAGAGTTTAAAACAATGATTATAAGGATGTTCAATAACCCGAGAGCTCTCACAGTGATAACTTGGGGACAAACAGTTCAGCCTTTGTCTCCACATAGATAAAAGCACCTGTAAGCAATGCTCTATCAGTAGTTCCATGTATTGATTTCTCAAATCTGCAATAATCCATCAGGCTACCTGAAAATAAATAATATTTGCTGCACCTTGTTGTTTATAGTTCTGTGCTGTATGCATAACTTGTGTAGATGTATTTCTATAAAGTAAATTGTTACATCTTCATGGAAAAAAAAAAAAAAAAAGTAGAACCTGAGGGGATGAATGGGTGAGCTCAGTGAAAGCTTAAACAAAGAGATAATAAACATTGAAAAGGATATATAAGGGGGGAAAAACATAAAAAAGAACCAATCAGAAATGAAGAATACTCTATCTGAAATGAAAAATACACTAGAAGTAATCAATAGCAGGTTAGATGAAGCAGAGGATTGAATCAGCAATTTAGAGATAATCATAAGCAAGATAATCATAAGCACCCAAGCAGAGCATCAAAAAGAAATGAGAATTTTTAAAAATGAGGAAGTCTGCCTTGGCCAGTGTTGCTAAGTTGTTAGGGCATCAACCCCTGCACTGAAGGGTTATGGGTTCAATTCCCAGTCAAGGGAACATATCTGGGTTATAGCATTACTCCCACCCCTGGTCAGGGCACATATGGGAGGCAACCAGTAGATGTGTCTCTCTCACATTAATGTTTCTCTTTCTCTTTTTTTCTCTTTCTTTCTCCCCCACTCCCTTTCCCCTTCTATTCTCTCTGAGAAGCAAAGGAGAAAACA